GCATCCTTGAGGTCAATCTCCTATGTGACTTTTTACCTGTTACAATGAGTCTCATTATTTTTTTAACAGGACTGTTTTACTTTCTACATCAACTCATAATTTTAGTCTTCCCACTTAATTGTTACATTGTTACTAGTGATGACTCGACACAAACCCTTTAAAATGTTCAACAAGTCATGCTTGTGAGCATTGGCATGGAATGGAAGTGCTAACATGGAATGACCTTGGTGTATATATAGAATGCCACGCATGCAATTGTTAGCCCAACCCAGAAGACCCGGTGCCCATTCCAAAGTTGGCCTCCTCTCACCATAGTCGGCCCAAAATTGGGTTCATCATAGCTCTGGCATATCCCTTCGTGATGGTGACCATTGTTGAGATAAACACCAAAAGACCGATCACTAATCCAACGATAGAAAAAACAACAACGTGGCCCAATGCCTTTGCTTCATGATCGTCGAAAGCAATCCATATTGAAGCAAAAAGGAACACAGAAGTGCATATGATCTCAAGCCGAAGTGCCTGGCCCATGGCGAGGCCTATCACAATGGGCCCATTTGGCCCAGGTGCAATGACTGAGAGGGTACAACCCGCAAGTGAGAAGGTTTGCTCAATGGTGCTACTGACCACGGCTTTGAGTGCTAGTGCCCCTAGAGCACCTCCAAGGCATTGGGCCACAATATAGACCATGGCATGCGAAAATGATATAAGGCTGACCAGGGAGGCTGACCAGGGCGGCAGAGAAGGAGATGATAGGGTTGATGTGGCCTCCAGAAACAGGCAAGAAGGCAAGAATTAATATTGTGATAGTAAGTCCTACAAGGATTGATACTATTAGGTTTGGTGCAATGATTTTGGTTTCATAACTAGAGATGACTATGGTATCGATCATGAAAACAAGGATCGTCATGCCAAGTAGCTCTCCCAATGATGCTCGCCAAACCTAATAACCAGTTATGGTGTTAGTACAAATTGAGTTTTTGTTAGGAATACATAAACTAAATATAGAACGGATGTGTGTTTCTATATGTGTGTTTAGTTTCTGTGTTCCTAACATTAGTGGACACATGTAAACTAAATTGCATGCAAAAACTAACATTAGAGGAAAGATGTCCTTTAATAGCAGCCTTTCAACCAATTTAGCCGAAGCTTGCTTCTTCCCTTCCTCAATGTTCTAGTATTGCTCTGTCCTGCAAAAAGTGGACAAATCTTCAAGTGATTAATGACTATCTAACACCAAAGAGGTGTGATGGGGCCATATCTTAGCTCCAAAATATTTAGACTACAAAATAAGAAGAAAAATATACCGTCGAGAATGTTTGAATTCAATGAATAATTTCCTTTACTAGACAGAATAAGAAAGTTTTTGAATTATTTCAACTACGTGGGATGATCTTTTGAATTAGTAAAGAGAATGAACTATCCAATTTATAGTCGACACTCTATGGCTTATTTGTTACTTCAATAAATTTGCTTAATTATATTGTATAGGCTCCTGATTCGACATTGATTATATAGTGTGAGGAAACAATGAAGTTAATTAAGGAACATACTCTGCTTTTAAAGAGAGAGGTTGAATTTTATCTTTACCGAGGCTTTCTTGATCTTCTTCAACTCTTAAATTCACAGCCATCTTTTGTTAATTTGCAAGAACACTTGTTGTTTTGGCTTTTGCTATTTATAATACATTTTCCTAGAACTAAAGAGACATAGTAATGTTATATAAGCAAAATTTTTATATAGAATGATGTGGCTTTGGCTCTATATGATCCTCTCATGAAGAATTATACTTATACATAAAAATTTTGTTTGTATTTACTTTGTTCATTAAGTAATATTATACAAAAAGAAAGATTAATTATAATTTTTGTGCGATTGAATTAGAATAATTTACTTTAGGATAAAACCTATTAGGTTGACTTTTAACTATAAAAGCATCATCTTTACATCACTTTGACATGTTTTTTTGCATAATTTTCTTTACATCACTTTGACATGTTTTTTTGCATAATTTAGTTTTGTAAGATCGAATCTTTTTTCTTTTTTTTTTAAATTTACTTTTATAATCACAAGTTTTTAGATACTTTTTTTTAACTATTGTCAAACTTAAGTTTAGAATTTGAACCGAGTCGTCCATGGTATTGAAGTGTAAGTCATGCATAATGGTGAAGTATAATGATGACACATTTCATTATCATGACCCATGAGCAGTGACAAAGTGGGTTACATGGTAAGCAAGATTAATAGCAAGTTAAATCTGTCAAATTTTTTATTTGGACAACATTGGCAACCATGAAAGCAAGAGAACAATTGGGTACAAAAAAATCTACTCTAAGCACATATATGTGTTCTCATCAGGATTTTATTTCATTTTTTCTTCAAAATGGACCACAAGTTACTTCTGGTGATTTATGAGCCATTGAGTGGTAAACAAAAGTCATTATACCTTTTAAACTAAAATGTATAATTTTATCATAAATTTATGAGCCATTGAGTGGTAAACAAAAGTCATTATACCTTTTATGCTTCGTTTGCTATTTTGGTTTAATTAATCGATAAAGACAAAATAGATTAATTTAGTTAATATGATAAAATTTCATATCAAAGCTATAATCATTTCATCTTTTTTCTCATAACCATCAAATCATTTATAAAAAAAAAAAAAAATCAAAATTTATTCTAAACACAACTTTTTTAACCAAACTAAAATAGTAAAAAAAAACCAAGCTAAATTAGCTCATCCCAAACGAGGACTAGAAAAGCCAAAAAAATCAACAAACTATACAAAGAAAAAAAAGTCAAAAATTCTATTTTCTCTCTATTTTTTACAATTTTTTCATAGAAAGTCAAAAAATAATCCCAAATATATTAATTTTTTGACCTTATATTTTAACTAAAAAATTACTAAAATTGTCCATTCCCAAGACTTGAGATTTGTGTTCACTTTTGCATTATTATGTTATGATGTGCACCCTTTAGGGGTACATACGATATGCACCTACTATAAAATGTATAATTTTATCATAAATTTTCATAATATTAATTTCAAAATATGTAATCTTCCACAAAATTAGTATAACAAAAAATATCATAATCAAACTACAAATTTTTATAACATCAACTGTAAAATTTTAAATGTAAATTACTTCAATTTATAACAAAATTACACATTTTATAATTAATATTATAAAATTTTATAGTAAAGTTATAAATTTTTATAATAGAGTACATATAAAGGGGTGTAAGCCATTCGATTTCTTTTGATGACCATGACTTTGTTCCACCACCAACAGCAGTATGTCCCTCACCCCTCACCAGATCGTTACTTTGTTCCAATGTGTCCTCTATTTTGCTATCCGTAATTTCTGGTAAGACTCTCCTGTTTGGATTGGATTGAGAAATTGTAAAAAATACGGACTAAGGTGAAATTATAAGATTTTTTATGCACCTTGTTAGTATTATATTATGTATTAGATAGTGCAGATAGTGCATTTGCTTTCGGTTCCTTTCGGCTACTTTCCCATGATGGTGTTTGTATCATGTTTGTAGCATAGCATATTCTCTCCTATGTAAAGGAGTGTGTGTACCTATTCAAATATGAAATACACAATTTCAATATATACACAATTTATTCTTTCTTTCTATATACATAATTCTAACATGGTATAACAGGTTTAAAACCTAGTATTTTCGCTTCACGGGCGGGCGACAACCTCGCCTTGGCTGCCATCGGACCTCAACCTATTCCGCTTGTTTTCTACACATACCTTAACTGACTGTAACATGGTCATATGACCAGACCTTCCCAGCAGGGACAGACTCATCCTACAAGACCGTGACGGTCACTCTGTTATGCACCCATCAACCAAGTAGACCGTGCTTGGAGGAAGACAGTGGACAACCTTATGAAGGACAAGACCTGCCAGTTCAAGGTGGTTGTTCAACCAAATGGCGTTGAAGTGGGTGGTACTGGTGTACACCGCGGCAGCAGAGGCGATCATGGTCCTCTTCCTGATCAGCGTGATTCAAAAGCTCCTCAAACCATTCCTGATGATGATGGATATCTACTGGAAATACGAGACTCGACCTTCATGCGAGTCCCACACTTGGGTTCTTCGCTAGCCAGATTGCATGCAGAACCAGTAGCAAGAAAGTTACCAGGAAAATTACTTTTTGAAACCAAACCAGAGGATCAATTAATCAATCAATTGTCCATATGAAATAGACGTAGCTTCCGGAGGAGGACCTAAACCATAGCGATTTGCTTCCACAAAGCCCTCACCGTTGCAATCTCCCACCTTTCTTGTAATCGTTTCTTCCTTAAACGATTTCGACTCCGTCAGCCCAATCCACTCAAGGCTGGATCATCATCATCGGCTCTCTCGCATGGGCTCTCTCTCGGAGATGATCACATCAAACTAATCTCTCTCTCTGCAGTTTGGGTGTTGAAAAATGTAAAGAGGAGACACAAATAGACACACACAGGGACACAAGGGGGGGACTGATCTCTCTCTCCCTCCGGGTTATCTCTCTCTCTCACTTTTCACCCACTCTTCCACTACCTCACCTTTATTTTCATTAGTAAAATGGTGGTTTGGGCGGTGGATGAGAGAGTCTCTTCGTTCTTTCACAGGCAGTTCCCAAACACATCCACTACCTCACCTTTATTTTCATTATTATAAAGCTCTATTGATAAGCCCATTTTCCAGCATGTTCCCACTCTCTTCAACTTTCTTTTATTTTCTATATATACTAGTTGGACCCCACACACTACGGGCGTAGGGTCACGTTGCAGTTACAATACTAATTAAAGAAATTTCTGCATGTACAAGATGAGTTCTTTTTTTTTTTTTTTTAAAAAGAAAAAATTCTTTTACTAACAAAAAATTTATTAATAAGATGAGTACAAACGAAGGAGAGAAATACGATCAGTTCAAAACAAGCACCAAACTGCACATCTCCAATACAAAACAATCACACAACTACAAAACACTAAAATATGAAAACATTACGTATCATTGCGTACTTGCTAACAATATAGTTATATACCAACATATAAGACCAAAGGCAAACAAAAGAAAAACACAACCCAATTGACCAATGAATCAAATAAATTAAACAAGGAAATAAGATGAACCTGCACTCATATCTCTGTTGATATCATCTCCTCCTTTGATTTTTCTCTAGGGGTCATATAGCCTCACCTTTGCCATTCTCTAGACTGCATATTAGTTGATCTCCTCTTCAATTTCTTCCGCTCTCCTAGTGCTTATTATTCTTTCTTATTCAGCCAATAACTTACCATAATGATAAAAATCACTTTTGTGGTTAGTGCCTTTCTGCTAGTTTTGGAGATCATTTCATTCATTTAACCAATAAACTATATCAGGGAGGACCTTAAAAGCACTTTGGATATAGGCATTAATATAGTGACGTAAGAGAATAGAAACTCAACTTAGTTAACAGATTTATGTAGTTATGTTTGGTTCAGTTATAAGTTTCACTACCCCAACTGTTCATAAGTACTGCATTAATACTCTCTTAAATAACAAAGGAATAACATGATTACGCTTCAGTATGTTTATTATCATTATTATTTATTTTGTTTCTAATTATTGTTGTTATCATTACTATTTTTGGGGCTGACAAGGTTCCCAATGAATTTCACATTGTGTTTTTTTTTGTTTGGTTTTTTTTTTTGTGGGGGGGGGTCTTAATTTTTATATCGAATAGCGGTAACATATACAATGAGGTGCCGTTTAACATACCAAATAATATTAGGACTGGAAACGAAGTACAAATATGCAGATCAACTTAATTGTGTCAACAGTCACTATAGCAGCCATCAAAATATGTTCTCAATTGGCCCGATGCAAACACAAGATTCTGGAAATCGCAATTGAAGTTGGAGAAGCATACCAGATTGGCAACATTGCCAACACATTCTCCCTTTGCAGTAACATCCCCAATGTTTTCTCCTTTGGCAAAGGCTTTGTATATTGGAGTGCGAGTTGAGGTTGATGTGACAGCACCAACATTCTGCAAGTGAAACAATATGAAAGTAAAGCAATAAAGCTAATTCATCACATAGATCAGATGGAACTTATAAAATGGGAAGAAAATGAGAGACAGAGAGAGGGGTTAAACCTTGGCCACATTGGCAGCATAAGCTAAAGGCAGAAAAAGGTGTGGCACAACTGCAGTGGCCAACTCTACCCCAGCACCTAACTCCATTAGAAGATCACTCGCAAAATGAAGCTGAAGGGAATCATGATTTTCAGTAAAGATTACTTGTTAGAAATCAAAACTAAGTTCAGTGAAAATCAACCACAAGAATAACTATGATTGAGAGCAATTTTACCTGCTTCAAATCATAATCAAATTTTTTCCCTTGCCGAGAAAAAAGCAGTTTTCCAACCCAACCTGCACCATCCTATAAATAAAGCATATGATGTATTTAACAAAATCATATTTAATACCTCTGATAAGGAAGCTTCAAATGCCAAAGGAAGCATGTAAAGCCACAATGCTAGATACAGTGAAAGTATCATGATTCATAAGGCAGTAAAGTTTTTTAATCAAATTAACAATAGACTTGAAATTTTATTGTTGGGTTTTCAAGCATAAAGAATTTAATCTCAAATGAGCCTAATATATATTTTTTAAAATTTAATTGCCAGTGTAGATTATAGATCAAATTTAGACAAATTGCTATTAAAATCTTCCACAACCTCTGCTTTGTTTGCAGTTATTCTGCTTAGGAGGCATTTTTTTTTTTCCCTAATAAAAGTTGGTTTGGAATATGTCCCATGTACTATCTTGTGAGAGATTTGGAAGCCAACCCAAAAAAAAAAAAAATTAGAGAGAGAGAGAGAGTGCTCAAGTTTTGATGAAAATTTTCAAAGATAAGAAGGAAAAAAAATAAGTGGAATGTGCTTATATTTTTGGGTGAATAACATATCAGTGGGTATTTTGGGGAAACAAAATTCAAATTAATGATAAACTTTATAGATTTTAATTATTAAGGACATAAACTTTTTCATGTGTTAGTAATTAATTTTTGAAAGTGCAACTGATTTGTATTTTCCCCTATATTTTTTAGGCAGAAGGTAAAACCAAGTATATATTGTTTGGTTGGGTTTTGTCTTCATTCGTTTTCATACGAGTTACACAAGGAGAGTAGTATAACAACTCAGATAATATTTTAAATATTTAAGTTACTTCCAGCCTACCTATACGAGAATAATTTTAACTACAAATAATCTACAATCAACCTAAAATAACTCTTGGTTTAAAACCTTTGTTGGTAGTTGTTTAGCTGGCCTTTTGTTTAATTTCCTTTGTTCAAAAAAAAAGAAAAAAGAAAAAATAACCTAAAATAACTCTCTCAATTTTGAATTCCCAAAATATCAAACAGGAAAAAACAAAACCTTAAATAAAACCCTTGAGCTCAAGGATTATTAGACCTAATTTACAATTACGTGCTTTGTATGGGCTAACCATCTGAAGATCTCCAAAGCTGAGCTACAAAGCATACCATACATTTAAGAAAACAATGATAACAGCATTGAAATTCCCCATGATTGAGTCCATGCAATTAGATCTCAGTTAAAGATAATAAAAGCATAAGTCTACCAGATAAATAGAACTATATAGAAGGTAAAGAAGTATTGAGAAACTGATGTTACTGTCTCATGCAATTAATAGTGCTTTCCAAAAAGAGATGTCAAATCCCAAGCAACAAAGTGTTTTCAAACATGAACGAGTTATCCAAATGCGAACTATAAAAACATTAGCATACCTTGAGAATCCAATTGATAGCTACAGCACCAAGAGTGGCTCCGTGTTTGGAGACTCCAACTGAACCCAAAAGTGTCTGCGTTGTGAAAACACCCATGGCTCCACCAAAGAAGTGCTACAATAAATGTTTTAATCATTATTACAGCATTTAGTAACATCAAGACAACACAAGGCTCTCACCCAGAAAATAAAAGACAACATAGGACTATCAATATGAATCAAATTATCATACTAAACCACACAAAGGTTGCATTTGGAATAGTAAATCAAAAAATTCCATTTAATTGTCTTGAGTTAGTTTCCTTCGTATTAAAGATTAAGTCATTTGTTGCCTTCCACAATGTTTATACTGAAAACCTTATACAGGTTCATTTTTTAGTTTTCAATTTCAATTGTGTATTACTGGTTTAAAGGTCTAGATATGTTTTTATGCATTTACTTGTTTATTTAGGATTTAGGCATTTTGTCAAGCAGGTGATGTGCCTAATTTGTCTATGCACTAACAGGTATCCATGAAAACAGAGACATACCAATCAGATGTCAATATATCCATATATATTAGGAAAAGGAGTAGACAAGTTCTAAATTACATACCAGATTATGGATTTGGGGTAGTAATCTATGAACCGAGAAACAACGAAGTTGAACCAAGACAAGAAACGAAACAGAACAAAGAGTATACACACATATCTATATATATATATAGACATGGCTTTGTGCACTAACTAATTGACTCTCTTTTGCAACACATTAGAAATCTTTCCAGCAGCTGAGCAAGCAAAGAAATTAGTTGAAGTTTTGGCAGTTGCAGAGGCGATATTGCTTAAATGCTAGCAATTGTTATCCGAGCGGTGCACCAAACAAATGAATCTTCTAGGAGAAATCAATTTCCACCGCTTCGCAGTTTCAGAGCAGGAAGGAATCAAGAATTTGTAGGAGGAATGATGAAATTTGTTTTGTTCTACTGTCGCGTGTGTGGCTAAGTTGAAGGCCACATAGCCAGCCCAAATCTGCTTTACAAACCAAATAAGCAACAGAGCTACACCAAGAAGCCCAGCGTTACACCATGCGTTACACCACCCTTATGTTCTTTTTATATTGGTTATAGATATATACATTTTTTTTATTATAATATATTATACCAACATATCAGCCCACAGTTTTTTTTATTATAATATATTATACCAACATACAAACCCACAGTTTCAAACCGTCTCTGATTTTTTAAATCTTTATTTTATTTCATTCCACACAAAAAACCAAAACAACAATACAAGAAAAACAAAACAAAACAAAACAAAACAAATCAAAACAAAACCACCAACCATAACCACCACAAACACCGACCTTACTTTTTCGCCTTTTCCGCATCTTGTTTTTGTCTTGGGCGACTCTTGATGGCCCTGCCTTCGTGCTTCCCAGTCTACCGAGCACGTTGCCTCCCCGCTGCTCCTCAAACGCTGCATATGGTGGACCTCCGAATCGGAACATGACAGTGGCCTTCCGTTTTAGCTCCTTGTTTTCCGCCTTCAGTGCGCATATCTCTGCTCGCTCATCCTTATACGGACGCTGGAGCAGAGCGAGTTGGGCATTTAACTGGTGCACCTCACTAGTTCTATTCTGCAGCCGGTGCGACAACTTGGAAACCGCAGTTACTGTCTCCAAGCACGACTTCAGCATAAAATGGTTGGCTTCAATGTCCGTTTGCGTTGCCATTATTTGCTCCACCTACAGTATTGGAAAGTTCAACGGAGCAAAGGCAGCTGCACTCTGTCCAGAGGCGCTTGGTTGCACTTCAAGGGCGACAGAACCGGTTATCTCTATTGTAGACTCATTCAGGTTTGGAAAAAGGGTGAGCGGACCACGAAAATAAGAGGTCATGTTATGTTAGGGGTTGCAGAGTGTTTCAGGGAATGTCAGAATGGTTTTGCAGCTATCAGAGAATGAAGAGATTTCATAATGGTTTGTTTTGCACTGCCTCTATCCAGCCTCAGCCTCGATTTAAATAGAGAGCGAAAAGACGACGACGCCAAACGGGAGTGAAAGCGACGTGAATCGCGCGACACTTGAAGGCACAGTGTCATGCGCGACTTTTGATGTATTGGGCGCAACTTTTGAAGGCACAACTTTTGAGGGCATGATATATATATACATGTATATCTTTGGGCTGCTTATATACATGACCATATAGTGTATTCTCCAACGGTTCGACATGACCGCATAGTGTCTGCTACAATGGTCTGACACGACCTCATAGTGTCTTCTACAGCGGTCTGACATGACTACACAGTGTCTTCTACAATGGTCCGACACAACCATACAGTGTCTTTTACAACGGTTCGACACGACCATACAGTGTCTTCTACAGCGGTTCGACACGACCTCAAAGTGTCTTCTACACCGGTTCGACACGAGTCATACAGTGTCTTCTACACCGGTCTGCCATAACCATACAATCTCTTCTACAACGGTCTAACACGACCATACAGTGTCTTCTACAATGATCCGACATGACCCCGTAAACTGTCCCGACATTGATTCCGGTTAGCTCCTACAACGGTCTGACACGACTACACAATGTCTGCTACAACGGTCCAACACGACCATACAGTGCCTTCTCCAACGGTTTGACACGACCATACCGTGTCTTCTACAACGATTTAACACGACCATACAGTGTCTCCTATCCTATTTTTATTTATTTTCCCATTTTGTTACTCTCTCTAAACTCAAGTTGGTTGGTACCTATCCTCCTTGAGTTTGAGGAGGGCTGTTAGTATTATAATATGTATTAGATGGTGCAGATAGTGCATTTGCTTTCGGCTACTTTCAACTACTTTCCCATGATGGTGTTTGCATCATGTTTGTAGCATAGCATCTTCTCTCCTATATAAAGGAGTGTGTGTACCGATTCAAATATGAAATATACAATATCAATATATACACAATTTATTCTTTCTTTCTATATACATAATTCTAACACACCTAAGTAAAATTCATATAGATTTTGGAGGTTTAAAATGCTAATTTCTTTTATAATTACTTGAAATTATATAGGTAAATAAGATTTTTGAGAATTTAGAATTACTGATAATCTAATTACTATAGTATGTCCTTCCCCTCTATGCATGGCAGAACAATGGTGAGAATTGAGAAGTGAGTAAAGGGTTTGGAGGCCCGACCACTGCTAATTTGGTCAACTCATATATCTTTACCTATCATTATTTATTGCAAATTCCTAAGCCTTCCCCAATTAGAATTTCTTCCCCATTTCCTTCATGCAGATATGAGATCTTCTAGGTCTATCAAACTGAACCAGTGTGAACTTCATAGCTAAGTATTTGATTACGTATTGCATTTTCTATCTATAAATACCTTCCCATGGACCAAAAGAGCTTCATGCCCTTCATCATCTCTCTTCATTGTTTGTAATAACAAACCAACAATGACATCCTTAGTAAAGAGGCTGTCCAACCAGTTCATTCCTTTCCAAGTTTTGTTTGTTTTTATCATCATCCTTGCGTTCGTCTCTTCTTCTGACTCTGCTGCTCATGCTTCTTCTGCAACTACAGAATTTGGAAAAGAAGGAATTGAAGCAGTCGCTCTCTTGATATGGAAAGCTAGCCTTAATAACCAGAGCCAATCTCTCTTATCATCTTGTGATGCAAGCAACCATTGCAGTTGGGTTGGAATTAGATGCAACAAAGATGGTAGAGTCACCCATATAGACCTTGAGAATTACGGTTTGAGAGGTACACTTTTCAATCTTAACTTCTCTTCCTTCTTTTATCTCATCAGCCTTGAACTTTATAACAACTCAATCCATGGGACCATCCCCTTAAACATTGGTAGCTTTTTGCGACTCACCCTCCTAAGCTTGTCCTGCAATCGTCTTTCAGGAACAATTCCATCCAAAATAGGAATGTTTAGCCCTCTCAAGGAACTCTTTTTGTATTCTAACAATCTTTCAGGTCCAATACCTCTGTCTATTGGAAACTTGGGTAATTTAACCAAATTATGCTTTCCAAAAATAAATTTTTTTGACAAATCCCTCAAGAAGTTGGGATGCTAAGATCTCTCATTGATCTCCAAATATCAAGGCACAATCTCACAGGTTCAATCCCTACTTCTATACAGAACTTGGCCAACTTAACCATTTAAAGCCTTTATGAAAACCAACTTTCTGGATTGATCCCTGAAGAAGTCGGATTGTTAAGGTCTCTATATAAGTAATCTCTCACTTTTAACAGCCTCACAGGTTCAATCCCTGCCTCAATAGGGAACTTGACCAATTTAACCATTTTATACCTTTATGGAAACAAACTTTCTGGGTTTATCCCTCAAGAAATCGGAAAGCTTGTCTCTCAATGAACTTGATTTGTCAAGAAATAATCTCACAGGTTCAATCCCAACCTCTGCAAGGAACTTGGCCAACTTAACCATTCTGAACCTTTATGCCAACAACCTATCGAGAAACATTCCTTCTAGTATTGGAAACTTAAATAAGCTCAAGCAATTGATTTTATTAGGTAATCAACTGTCTGGCTTTATTCCTCTGTCATCTAATAATCTTACACATTTACAAAGCTTGTAGTTAGATTCTAACAGGCTCACAGGTCATTTACCACACAATGTATGCCTTGGTGGATTTACTTGAATATTTTTATGCATCTGACAATAATCTCACAGGTTCAATCCCAAAAAGCTTGAAATTTTGTGCTAAACTGTACAGACATAGGCTTGACAGAAATGAACTTGTAGCAAATATATCAAAAGATTTTGGTGTATACCCAAATTTAAATTATATTGACTTGAGTTATAATCATTTATATGGTGAGCTATCTCAAAAATGGGGACTTTGTCATAATCTGACAAGCCTGAAGATCTCCCACAATAATATTTATGGGAGGATACCGTCTGAGCTTGGAAATGCAACTCAATTACACGTACTTGACCTCTCTTCAAATCATCTAGTTGGGGAGATCCCATATAATCTGGGAAAGTTGCACTCATTGTTCGACCTTACTCTGAGTGATAACAAACTTTTTGGCAACATTCCACTAGAAATTGGTAGCTTATTTGACCTACTAAATCTTGACTTGGCAGCAAATAAGCTCAGTGGCTTCGTCCCAAAACAATTAGGGAATGTGTGAAGCTACTAAACTTGAATTTGAGCAAGAATAAATTTGGGGGAGATATTCCTATCAAAATAAGCAAGTTGCACTCTCTTCAAAATCTTGATCTTGGCCAAAATTCACTAATAGGTGAGATACCACAAGAGATTGGAGAACTGCACAACTTAGAGTCACTGAATCTATCTCAAAGTGGGCTCTCAAGCTCCATCCCACTTACTTTCGATGATATGCCAAGTTTGATATCTGTTGATATATCTTACAATCATTTGGAGGGTCCTCTTCCCGACAGCAAAGCCTTTCAGAAGGCTTTGTATGAGGCATTCAGAGTTAATAAAGCTTTGTGTGGCAATAACTTTGGTTTGAAGGCTTGTCGTCCCAAATGAGCAATGGGGCGAAGGGGAAAAAACACAACAAATTTGTGATTTTGGTTATAGTTCTTGTGTCATGTTGGCAATTTTTCCATTCTTCACAAAAGAGCCAGGAACAAAATCAATGAGACTAGCCCTGCAGCTAAGGAAAATTTGTTTGAAATATGGAGCTATGATGGAAAATTAGTGTATGAAAACATAACTGAAGACATTGAGAACTTTAACACCAACCATTGTGTTGGGGTGGGAGGATATGGTACCGTTTATAGAGTTGAATTGCCAAGTGGTCAAGTTGTTGCTATAAAGAAACTTCATAATTCGCAAGATGATGAGTTGGTTGTTGTGAAAAGTTTTATGAGTGAGATTCAAGCATTAAGGAAGATACGGCATCGTAATATTGTGAAGCTTTATGGTTTTTGTTCACACCCATGGCAACTATTTTTGGTTTATGAGTTCTTGGAAGGGGGAAGTTTGAGGAAGATCCTAAGCAGTGAGAAACAAGCAGTGGATTTTGAATGGACTAAGAGGGTGAATTTCATTCAAGGGGTGGCAAATGCTTTGTCTTATATG